TGCGACTCTTGCTGATAAGTGCATTTTCCCTGGGGATGTTTTGTGGGTTAAAGATTCTGAATTGTTTGAGGACCGTGATATAGCAGGTGAAGCCCTAACAACTATGATGACTTGAACATTTCTGAAAACATTAGATTGTTAACTTTGCTATCCTATAATATTTCAGATGAAATTTCAGAGCCGAAGGCTGATGCACTACCTGCTGAGGAAGGCTTTCGTGGTACACTATTGACATCAAGTGTATCAGCTCAGCTTTGTCAGGACATAGTATCGAGTGAATGAGTTTTCATGTGATCTACATCGCTGCATGCATACATTGGCATCGCTGCTGGTTACTCTTGCTTAGAGGTGAAACTCCTACTTCACTTCATATATATTTTTGTTTTTTGTCAGTAGACATCATCAGACTAAAAAACGTGGCTAGGCTGGACCGAAGCTCAAACGGGCCTAAGTTGACTTTCGAGCTTAGTGCTAGGCTTGAGCTTGGCTCGGACAAAACTCAAATAAGCGTAGAGCTTAGCATAAGAAAATACAGTGTTGTTTCATATGGAAATTTAGTAAAGCTGGACTTGGTGTGTACGCTATTGAAAACTATGCTGGCCCATATGTGAAAAGCTGGAGTATCTCATGCTCAGCTCCCACAAAATAAGTACGTTTTCAATATTACATGTAAGTGAGTTTTGTCGAGTTACTACTCTCGTTATGCTCACATGCTCACTCGCCTAGGACTCACGGAGCTGAGTTCGAATAGCTTGGTGTGGTGATTGCTGCCCTCTGTTTTGCATCGTAGTATGTATGTATAGTTAATTAGTTAGGTCTGAAGGCTACTAATTACTACTACCATATTCATAAATTTTATGCTATTCTGAAAACTTAACTTCCGTTTATCCTCCATGCTTCATTTGATTTCTTTATCTACCAGCGAATCCTCTCTGTTAAGTTGGTTCTAGACGAAATGCCCATGCGTGCATTGCTTTTTTTACTTTTTCTTTTGTCCATTTCAAGGCCCGACTCCTGCCAATATGGTCGTCTTGCTGATGAAGAAAAATACCTGGCTAAATTTAGGCACTAACATATGCTCTCTCTTGTATCCAGGAATCTGATGTTTGGTCATACCAAGTTACGGGATCCGCTGGACGTGGCTGGAATTTTCGTCTATGGCTGTCTCCGTGCTTTGTCTTTTCAATCTGTTGTATCCCAATTGTCCACAGTGAGGGGAAAAAGGAAGAGGTTCTGATGCACTCTTCTCTGATGTAATTACTTAGGTGTAGTTGATGACTATTTCTGGCTCTGCCGCTCGGCGTCAGCGTAACCTTATATTTTTGTTCATGAGAGCCGTGGGAAACTCCCTTGTACGGTTGGGACTATGTCGACGTTTTGGCAAGGAGCCTTAAACTAGCTAGCGTCTGCTTGGATGGGAATGGTAGGGTCTGTTATTCTTTTAGTCCCCTCTGTGGCTTTTATACTAACCGGGCTTTTCGCGGGACTGCTTGCATGTTCTGGTCACTGGTCACATGGGAGGCCCAACATACCAAGCCAGGCCAGGCAGGTACCCTTGAATCAAAGAAATTAAAAACTTCTCCCGCAAAAAAAAAAAGAAATTAAAAACTTAGCATGCAAATAATGAAAAACTGTCAAGTGTAAGTTCAATGTGCCCCAAGATGTCAGCTAGCTTACGTCCTCATGCAGTCACGCTTTCGTCAACTGACGATTTAAGTTCTATTATATGAACTTTGTCCAGCGAGGTAAAATCAACTTTGCGGAACAGAAAATCTAACGCTCAATGACACGAGGAAGGAACAAAAAGTTCAGCTTAGAGCAACAATACATGATGCTGGTCTGGTGCAGGACAATTAATCATTTCTGGGAAGTCTAGCAAGCTTAAGCAATCTGTACGTTGATGTACTGCGCTGGAGTACCCGTTCCGTTGGAACCCATCATCCGGCACGATTCCTTTAGAGCATCTACAGCTCAGCGCCTCAAACCTGCCTCAAATGCTTGGACATGCTTTATTTGTAATGCCGGGTTCTCACAACGACATCATCGTGCTTCAACGATCTCTGGTATTCAGGAGGCTTTGCAATGGGAATCACCGCGTGCAACTACACTATCAACGGCCGTGACTACAACATGGGATACGGCCTTGCCGATGGCATGTATCCTCGGTGGCGGCGTTTGTGAAGACCATATCGAAACCATAGGCAGGAAACAAAACCACTTTGCAACAATGCAGGAAGCAGCGAGGAAGGATGTGAAGAGGGCATTCAGAGTGCTTCAAGCTCGTTGGAGAATTGTTCATGGAGCTGCAATAATGTGGGAATCAGAAACTTTGTGGTAGCTCGTAACATGTTGTGTTATTTTGGACAATATGATTGTCGAGGATGAGGGTGATGGTGTTACCCGAAACTTTCAATCTACTATTTATTTTTAATCATGGCAGTATAAAGAATACTAGAGATAATAAGAATTACAACCAGACCATCAAGAAAGAACTACCCTGACCATCCAATTGATCCTGTCTCCTCGTGAATTGGCTGCCCCATTCCCTATGGTAGGCTGATCTGACGAAAACTGTCCATGCAACAAAGTCTTTTACGACATCAGTGTTGAGAGGGGTCTGAAGGGTTTGCTGGACATCGCGAGAAAACATGTCCCCAATCAATATCTCATCCTATTTTTCGGAGTGTGGGTTAATGAGATCCTCAACCTTGGAGAACATAATACCCTCATGTGGTGTAATAACTTTGCGTGGTGGACCAGAACCGATCCAGAGATCATGCCATATGTCATTTGGGATCAGGTTCACACTCCCCAAATGTGATAGTTTTTAAATGTCCGAATTTCCGTAACAATACTTTGCCATGTATATGATGATCACTCTTGGTTCCTACCTCCAAAATATTTCCATCCAGATAGTATTTATCGTGTAAGACACATGCACATAAGGAATCGTGGTTCTGAATCATTCGCCGACATTGCTAACATAGCAAGATTAAAACTATAAAGGCCTCTAAATCCCACCCCCCCTTCTTCTTCGGGATACACATCTTTCACCATGCGAACCAATGCATTTTGTTGACTGTTCATTGTCTCCCCACCAAAAATTTGAGAGCTCATCTGTGATTGCTTTGCATACCACTTTAGGTAATTTGAAGACTGACATAGCATAAGAGGGAGTTTCCTGTATTACTGCTTTCACCAAAATTTCTATACGAGAGAGAGATAACATATTTCTCTTCCCAACTCTTTAGCCTCTGACACACACGATCTATAAGATGTCGAAAGCAATTGCTTCCTGTTAAACTATATGATACCCCACACGTTGTTGTGGGAATATTTTACAATGTATTTCAATGAGATTTGGTTGGAACATGAGTATTTAGAGTAATAATATGGAATTAAAACTAAAAATACATATGATATATTGTGTTTGATTGTGTATAGTCGTAAAATATTTATTATATGTACATATCATAGTAAAATGGAAATTCTCATGCATATTTGCATATTGAAGTGGACTTTTTCTTCTGCATGGTTGCATGTTGAGATGCGTTTTTTTTTCATACATGTTGCATGTTGAGAGAAATAAGTTGGTGTAGGCTAGCTATTTAGTTATACACAAGGTGTTGCAGGAACTATATTAAAACAAATGCATAAGTATTTGCTTGAAAATAAACAGAACAATTGTAAAGGTGTTCTCGGTTTTACATTTAAAAAACCTACGGAGTATAAAATGATGTGTAAAAGGTGAGAAACTTTTGAATTGAACTTAATGTAACACCATCTTTTAACATAAATTTGAAGCATGAACTATATATTTGGAAAAAGAAGAAATACTTGCATAACTTGATGAGGTGGTATGGTTTGCATGGATATACAATGCAAAATTGTAACTTATGCGTACATGCATTACTTTTGATTCCACACAATTTCGATCAGACAATTATCAATGATTGAGGTGATGTGGAAGCATGCATGTGCAAAAAAAAAATCTAATAGTGAGGGTTAGCCATTTATGTATAGAAGATAAGATCAACCGCCAAAAAAAAGGGTATAGAAGATAAGATTACAGACGAGAAACTTACATGAGCACCATTCTCACTATTATGCTCTCTTATAGGGACTCAAGTGCACGAGATCTCTGTGTCTCCAGGACAATCCCGCAAAGAATACATCATTAGAAAGACAAGGTATTTTATATGGAATACTCCTAGTAAATTAATTCAACGGGGACCATAGGCCCTCCTCATTCTGTTTTTAACCAAGGCAAACCTTTGCCTTTTTTATTAGTTCAAAAGAAGTTTGTTGTCCAGTTAATCAAAGAAAAAATGGGCAAAAAACTGGCGCAACAAACACACGCCCACAACTCACCACAGGTCACCACTAGCCTAAATGGTCACGGAGATAAAAACTCGACTCAGCTGTACATCTCTGTTGTCACTGCCCCTAGTATGAAACATGGTTTAGGCTCAGTTGATCTAAAACCACATTAAGCTCAGTTGATCCGTCAATGATTAGTAGAGCAGCATCGTGGCTGGACCTCGCAAGAATGCTACTGACATTGCCCATTTTACGTAGCACGTTTGGAATAAAAGGAACCGGTACATGTTTGAGAACTTCATCGCCCACACTGATTTTGTCGTTGGTCATATCATTTCTGATCCTGAGATGCTGGGCGCCCCTGCCTTGCAGTTGTAGCTTCTTGCCCCTTTTTTTCCTCTCTTGAACTCATACTTTTTTTGTCAAACTCTTGAATTCGTACTTGTATCATATAATGCAAAGGCAGAACCCCATCTATAACCTTAAAAAAGGATAGCCACCGCATAAAAAACCCTCAAAAAAGGAGAGAAAATTTTCTTATGGTAAGGATCAAGCAGACTTTCAGTTCACTTATGGATGACATCATCATCATACAACAGATAACTCAAAATCCTGAAGAAAGAAATCTAATGAAGAAATGGGAATATGCCCGTTTCCAGAACTGATTTGTTGACCACTACTCACATTAAGATCCAGAAGTTTTTATTTCCTCGCTGGATTGTAACTTTCTCGAGTGGTATGTTGAAGGTACTCAAGATGTCCAAAACCTTGTGAGCCCACCCATCAACTTTGTCACATTTGATCTCGACGATCTTCAGATGGGTGAATGCAAATGATTGCTTTGATGGAGTGTAACTTCTTTGTATTTTCACCGGAACTTTAGGTTCCTAAAGCACTCAAATATTTTACTTACATCAGTCAACCATGGATAATTATCAACTTCAGTAACAGAAGGTTGTTCATGTACACGATATAATACCTCAGAAAGCTGGATAGTGAGCTTCTCCAAAATTGGTGAATGTTTGAGGAAGCAATTTAATATATTGAGGTCACCAGCAATGCCAGGGCACCAATTGCTGAGCAACAAAGTCTTTAACTTGCTGAATGTTGGGCACAATTTCAAGTCCCTGTTGATAATAAACTGTGAAAAGGAACAAGATCATATAAGTAATTTGCTGAAATGTTGCAGTGCAAGGTGCGATTACACCAAGCGCGGAATGGGAGTTAAATTTTTTGGCTTCAGATGTGGTATTGAAATAAAGTAATGCAAGAGGTTTAAAACTCATGTATACATTTTTCCTAGATGTATGATGGTCAGAAGCTTAGGATAAGATACTAGTATAAATTGTACGGCAGCCTGTATGACCAACATAATACTCCTGCGGTTATAATGTCCCAAAACTAAATCTAACCACAAACCGAAGAAGCAAGTGCAAGCAAGCATGCATACCACTTGAGGATGAACCCACAACTCCAACGAGGCAACTTGTGATAATCCTTTCAAAAGCACAGACTCGCCACGCCTATCGTGAGCACCACTTTCAGATTCATAACATCCATGACATTGACGATCATCGCAACCTCCATAGTCATTCTTACGACAACAATCAAGACATGTATTGATTCTAACAATTGCCGAAGTTAACAGTGACATGCTTTCAATCGGTACCGGCGTCCTACCGTAAAAACCGTCTAGCTCGAGGGAAACAAGGTTGGGCAAATAGACCCGGGCGCGGAAGGCGCCTGCCCGGAAAGAAGAGTAGATAGTGCTGAGATGCTTCAGGAATGGAGAAGAGATATTCCCGCAAATGGTGCAATCCTCCATCCTGAGACGAAGCAGCGCAGGACAGCCCGAGAAATCGAGCGTGCTGCTGTGCACGTACAACCTCCGAAGTTCCAGTCTTGTGAGGTGCTGGGATATGAGAGGGACATTGGCAAGGCTTAGACGATAGTCGGTACGCAACGCCAGCAGCACCCGGGGTCTGCACAGCAGGACGAGCCGGAACCACCTGTTCACGTCCTCCTCGTTAGCGGGCACGGGCAGGAACACCTTCGAATCGAAGTCGAAGTCCTTGGAATCGAAGTCGTCGCCGTAGTTGAGGTCGAGCTCGAACGAGTCCAGTCGCTCGCTGGGGTCGCGGAGGAGGAGCAGGCTATCCACGAAGTTGACGAACCACTCGTTGGTGCATCCCTTGCCGGTGACGCGCAGGGCCCGGGCGGATTTCCAGAGGTGGCGCCAGCGCCGCGCGAGCCTGCAGGTCCGCACCGCATCGTGCGCGGGGAGGAAGGAAAGCACGTGGTGGAGAAGGTCGTCGGGGAGGGTGCTGATGCAGTCGGCCATGGACGCCTTCTCGATCTGGCGCCGCAAAGCTAGGTCACGTGCTCCAGTAAAACCCTCGATCGAGGGGGCACTTTGTACAGAGCGCTGCTTGACATACGAGACAGTACTATATAGGCACCATCGACCAGGTTGGTTCACGGTCGTTTGCATGCATCTCGCCGTACGAAGTCATACCTCTTTCTTCTTTTCTTTGAAGAACTGCCTTTTTAAGAGCATCTCCAACAGCGCTAAAATACAGTTTACAGTGTCGGAATCGCCAGCTTTTGCGCGCAGCGGCTGCTGCAAAATAAAGCGCGTCCGAGCCGCTTCAGCAGACACGCTAAACTGCAGCGCGTGCGAGTAGCCGACGCTTGCCATATGTTGCATTTTGAAGACAATATGACAATATTTCAAACATCATAGCATAGTTTAAAATCACCCAAACAAGTTCATGCCATAAATAAAAGTTCAAAATCATGCCACATCACATCATCATCCAAGTAAGTTCAAAATCATGCAACCTAGTTCATGACATAAAAATTCGCACAAACAAATGGCACATCAACAATCAAGGAATATATATTTGACATGAAGAAAGCAATAGCAATAAATACTGAACAAGCTAACGGATGGGTCTTGTCCATCACATCATTCTTCTAATGACGTGATCCCGTTATCAAATGACAACTCATGTCAATGGTTAGGAAACCTTAACCATCTTTGATCAACGAGCTAGTCTAGTAGAGGCTCACTAGGGACACGGTGTTTATTTATGTATCCACACATCTATTAAGCTTTCCGATCAATACAATTCTAGCATGAATAATAAACCTTTATCATGAATAAGAAAATATAAAATAACAATTTTATTATTGCCTCTAGGGCATATTTTCTCTAGTCTCCCACTTGCACTAGAGTCAATAATTTAGTTCACATCGTCATGTGATTAACACCCATACTTCACATCGTCATGTTACCAACACCTATAGTTCACATTGCCATGTGACCAACACCAAAGGGTTTACTAGAGTCAATAATCTAGTTCACATCGCCATGTGATTAACACCCAAAGAGTAATAATGTGTGATCATGTTTTGCTTGTGAAAGAAGTTTAGTCAACGGGTCTGTCACATTCAGATTAGTATGTATTTTGCAAATTTGTATGTCTACAATGCTCTGCATGGAGCTACTCTAGCTAATTGCTCCCACGTTCAATATGTATCTAATTTGAGACTTAGAGTCATCTAGATTAGTGTCAAAACTTGCATCGACGTAACTCTTTACGACGAACTTTTTATCACCTCCATAACCGAGAAACATTTCCTTAGTCCTTTTTAAGGCACCTAAGGATAATTTTGACCGCTGTCCAGTGGTCCACTCCTGGATCACGCTTGTACCCTCTTTGCCAGATAAGTGGCAAGACACACACCAGGTGTGGTACACAACATGGCATATCGTATAGAACCTATGGCTGAGATATAGGGAATGACTTTTCATTCTCTCTCTATCTTCTACCATGGTCGGGCTTTGAGTCTTACTCAATTTCACTCCTTGTAATACAGGCAAGAACCCCTTGTTGGACTGAACCATTTTGAACTTCTTCAAATCTTATCAAGGTATGTGTTTTGTGAAAGTTCTATTAAGCGTCTTAATCTATCCTTATAGATCTTGATGCTCAATATGCAAGTAGCTTCACCGAGGTCTTTTATTAAAAAAATCTTGTTCAAGTATCCTTTTATGCTATCCAGAAATTCTATATCATTTCCCAATCAATAATATGTCATCCACATATAATATCAAAAATGCTACATAGCTCCCACTCACTTTCTTGTAAATACAGACTTCACCATAAGTCTATATAAAACCATACGCTTTGATCACCTCATCAAATCGTATATTCCAACTCCGAGATGCTTGCACCAGTCCATAGATAGATCGCTGGAGCTTGCACACTTTGTGAGCACCTTTAGGATCGACAAAACCTTATGGTTGCATCATATACAACTCTTCTTTAAGATATCTATTAAGGAATACAGTTTTGACGTTTATTTGCCAGATTTCATAATCATGAAATATGACAATTGCTAACATGATTCGGACATACTTACGCATCGATACAGGTGAGAAAGTCTCATCGTAGTCAACTTCTTGAACTTGTCGAAAACTTTTTGTGACAAGTCGAGTTTTGTAGAGAGTAACATTAGCATCAACGTTAGTCTTCTTCTTGAAGATCCATTTATTCTGTATGGCTTGCCGATCATCGGGAAAGTCCACCAAAGTCCATACTTTGTTCTCATACATGGATCCTATCTCAGATTTCATGGCTTCAAGCCATCTGTCGGAATCTGGGCTCATCATAGCTTCTTCATAGTTCGGAGGTTCGCCATGGTCTAGTAACATGACTTCCAGAACAGGATTACCGTACCACTCTGGTGCAGAACGTGCTCTGTTCGACCTACGAGGTCCAGTAGTAACTTGATCTGAAGTTTCATGATTATCATCATTTACTTCCTCTCTAGTTGGTGTAGGCATCATGGGAACGGATTTCTCTGATGTGCTACTTTCCAATTCGAGAGAAGGTACAATTACCTCATCAAGTTCTACTTTCCCCCCACTCACTTCTTTTGAGAGAAACTCATTCTCTAGAAATGTTCCATTCTTGGCAACAAAGATCTTGCCTTCAGATATGTGGTAGAAGGTACCCAATTGTTTTCTTAGGGTATCCTATGAAGATGCACTTCTCCGATTTGGATTCGAGCTTATCAGGTTGAACCCTTTTGACATAAGTGTCGCAACCTCAAACTTTAAGAAACGACAACTTAGGTTTCTTGCCAAACCATAGTTCATACGGTGTCATCTCAACGAATTTAGACGGTGCCCTATTTAATGTGAATGCAATTGTCTCTAATGCACAACCCCAAAATGATAGTGGTAAATCGGTAAGAGACATCATAGATCGCACCATACCTAATAAAGTACGGTTACGATGTTCGGACACACCACTACGTTGTGGTATTCCAGGTGGCGTGAGTTGTGAAACTATTCCACATTATTTTAAATGAAGGTCAAACTCGTAACTCAAATATTCACCTCCACGATCAGATCGTAGAAACTTTATTTTCTTATTACGATGATTCTCCACTTCACTCTGAAATTCTTTGAACTTTTCAGATGTTTCAGACTTGCGTTTCATTAAGTAGATATACCCACATCTTCTCAAATCATCTGTGAAGGGTCAGAAAATAACGATACCCGCCGCGTGCCTCAACACTCATCGGACCGCATACATCGATATGTATTATTTCCAATAAGTTATTAGCTCGCTCCGTTGTTCCGAAGAACGGAGTTTTAGTCATCTTGCTAGGGATGAAAATGGAGTGGAAACTTTTCGTTTTTTCGAAGGAAAAATGGAAACAAAGAGGAAATGTGAAAATGGAAGCGGAAATTTGCAAAACAGAAGTGGAAATGGAATTTTTTATGCGGAAATGGAAACAAAAATGGAATGGTGTTTTCTGGTGGAACATGCATGGAAACAAAACTTTCCATTTCCGTGAATTTGGAATTTTGTTTTTACTATAGACCTATGGCTGCTTTGTAGCCCAACCACCAAAGAGAACACAATGACACAATTAGTAGGATGGATCTAAGACCCAACTTCTACTACCACACATGTACTCAGCTTGACCCTATACGCAATTGTTCAGTACTACTAGAATACTACGCTAAGTTGCTAATATAATGATATTTTTTGTAGCCATGTTGACAACTCATTAAATTTGTTTGTTTTCATGTGTATTTCTCAATGATTCAAGGGGTTTTTAAGTTCCGATCAATGCCCATTTCTGTTTCCATATCCTCTTTGTATTCGCTCCGTGTCCGTTTCCGGTAGTATCTGTTTCCGTATTCATTTCCGGGGTTTCTGTATTCGTTTCTGCTTCTGCAAAAAATGTGAAAACAAATATGGTAGCACCCAGTTCCGTCCGTTTCCGCTCCGTTTTCATCTTCTTGCTCATGAGGCATGGTTCGCAAGTATCGAATGATTCATAATCAAGTGATTCCAAAATTCCATCCACATGGAGTTTCTTCATGCGCTTTACACTAATATGACCTAAACGGCAGTGCCACAAGTATGTTGCACTATCATTATCAACTTTGCATCGTTTGGCATCAATATTATGAATATGTGTATCACTACGATCGAGATTCAATAAAACATTTACATTGGGTGTATGACCATATAAGGTTTTATTCATGTAAACAGAACAACAATTATTCTCTGACTTAAATGAATAACCGTATTGCAGTAAACATGATCAAATCATATTCATGCTCAACACAAACACCAAATAACATTTATTTAGGTTCAACACTAATCCTGAAGGTAGAGGGAGTGTGCGATGGTGATCGTATCAACCTTGGAATCACTTCCAACACACATCTTCACCTCGCCCTTAACTAGTCTTTGTTTATTCTGCAACTCCTGTTTTGGAGTTACTAATCTTAGCAACTGAACCGATATCAAATTCCCAGGGGTTGCTATGAACACTAGTAAAGTACACATCAATAACATGTATACCAAATACATATACCTTTATTCACTTTGCCATCCTTCTTATCCGCAAAGTATTTGGGTTAGTTCCGCTTCTAGTGACCATTTCCTTTGCAGTAGAGGCACTCAGTTTCAGGTTTGGGTCCAGATTTGGGCTTCTTCATGGGAGCGGTAGCTTGCTTTCCATTCTTCTTGAAGTTCCCTTTCTTTCCCTTGCCCTTTTTCTTGAAACTAGTGGTCTTGTTAATCATCAACACTTGATGCTCTTTCTTGATTTCTACCTTCGCCGATTTCAGCATCGCGAAGAGCTCGGGAATCATTTTCGTCATCCCTTGCATATTATAGTTCATCACAAAGTTCTAGTAGCTTGGTTATAGTGACTAGAGAATTTTGTCAATCACTATCTTATCTGGAATATTAATTCCCACTTGATTCAAGTGATTGTAGTACCCAGACATGCTGAGCACATGCT